GTCTCATCTGTCCATAGGATGTTGTTCCAGAACTGTGAAGGCTTTTTTACATGTCATTTGGCAAACTCTAATCTGGCCTTCCTGTTTTTGAGGCTCACCAATGGTTTCCATCTTGTGGTGAACCCTCTGTATTCACTCTGGTGAAGTCTTCTCTTGATTGGTGACTTTAACACACATACACCTACCTCCTGGAGAGTGTTCTTGATCTGGCCAACTGTTGTGAAGGGTGTTTTCTTCACCAGGGAAAGAATTCTTCGGTCATCCACCACAGTTGTTTTCTGTGGTCTTCCGTGTCTATTGGTGTTGCTGAGCTCACCGGTGCGTTCCTTCTTTTTAAGAATGTTCCAAACATTTGTTTTGGCCACGCCTAATGTTTTTGCTATCTCTCTGATGGGTTTGTTTTGTTTTTTCAGCCTAATGATGGCTTGCTTTACTGATAGTGACAGCTCTTTGGATCTCATCTTGAGAGTTGACAGCAACAGATTCCAAATGCAAATAGCACACTTGAAATGAACTCTGGACCTTTTATCTGCTCATTGTAATTGGGATAATGAGGAATAACACACCCCTGGCCATGGAACAGCTGAGAAGCCAATTGTCCCATTACTTTTGGTCCCTTAACAAGTGGGAGGCACATATTCAAACTGTTGTAATTCCTACACCGTTCACCTGATTTGGATGTAAATACCCTCAAATTAAAGCTGACAGTCTGCAGTTAAAGCACGTCTTGTGTATTTCATTTAAAATCCATTGTGGTGGTGTATAGAGCCAAAAATGTTAGAATTGTGTCGATGTCCCAATATTTATGAACCTGACTGTATATGTGAACCGACACTGAACAATTCTGACCCCTGCAACTTCAGACCTACTCCCAGGTCTTCTCAAGTGGCTCATTCCAACAGGTCTGGACTGCTAGGCTCCCCATGACACCAAGAGAGCAGGCTTTTCCCAGGTAAATAATATAATGCCCTTCTGGCTCCTCCTGCTGCACACAGGTCATAGGGATTTGTTGTAGGGAAAGGAAGTCCGTAACGTCGCACATCAGAGCCCTGTGATTAAACACATTGGGGACATAGCCTGGTTGGAGCCTGGGCTGAGGCTGTCATACACCTCCTCATAGGGTTTTGCTGTGATGTGCAACTTTTAGGACTTCCTTTCCCTACTGGATGTTTTGAGCTGGGACGAGCTCTGTCTTTGTTGGCACTCCTAGAAGTTTGTCATGCAAGAGGACCAGGTGGAAACTTGAGCGGCACCTGTCATATTTGTTGTGGGTCACATAGGGATTTGTAGTTTAGAAACACAGTTATTTCAATAAAATGGCCACCACTTTAAACTACATCTCTCAGAATTACCAGCATTCTGTATTAAAATCTATAAGCTTGAGTTAATTTGGCCCTCCTCCTACTGGCCGGAGGTGCAGCAACATAAAAACTCAGCGAGGGGCAGCAAGACAAACGCTTTTTGGAACAAGGTCATTGTCACAAACCATTGTAGTCTGGCACATGGCTAAAATATGAATCAAGGCAAACATATCACAGGTGCCATTTCTGACTAGTCTTTGAAGGTGAAAGCTCCAGGGCCATCATCCTTTCTTTTTGACCTTCAAGTGTTACTAAGCCCAGGAGCCTGCATTCACTATATCTGGTCTCCCAGAGTACACAGAGCATGGAAATGCAATTATTTTATTAAACATAAATTGCTAAATACTTTTTATACATCAGCAGTTAGTGCAGTCTTGTGATTTCTATCAGAGTCCAGTAGAGCACTGGTTAAAGCTTGTAGGAGGAGTTTTCATTCTCCCCTGATTGTCTTATGAGACAACATAACCCCTGACCCTCTGTTTGGACAGCGCTGATTGGCCTTGCGCTGATCACATGCACTCTCCGAAGAAAAAAAAAATACTATCTAGCAATACACACCAACCTGCATGTGCAGCTTGCCCCCAAGGCTCTGTTCTATCAGCAGAAGAAGGGGAGGATCGAAGAAGACAGGATCAGACATCCTTTTTACACAATGCAGGATTATCCCTTAGGTTCCACAGTGAGTATAACAAGCATGCTTTACTGCATACACAGACTGATTTTTCTATTGTGGGTTTAGTAACACTTTAAAAAAGCATTTGCATAAAAGGTTCTGTGACATTTGTTATACATGAATCATTTCCCCAGGTGAGTATGTCAAAAGGTAGCAAGGAAATTATAAGCATGGCAGTCCTGCAGTCTGCAGCTTAAAGCATAGGCCAGACTCCTCTTGGCTTCCTGGGAACATGTGCCAGATGGGAAGTAAAAGAACAAATAACCAAAGACAGCATTTCTGGCAAGGTGATGTAACCATTCTAATTTCTTTCCAATGCTAACCACATGGTCAAAAAGTCCATGCGGTTTCCGAGCAGATGCGTTTCAGAAAAGGTGCATGCACCTTTTCCTTGGGTGAAACGTGGGCACAGCAACCCATTCAAATGAATGGACTGCTGTACCCACACAAACACAGGCCGCACCACTCACACTAGTGTGAGCTGGGCCTAAAGAGGGACATTAAAAAAACATTTAACAGGTATTCATTTATCCTCTGTCATTACATCTACAGGATCAATCTAGCTTTTTGCCAAACAAATGCACCCATGCCAATATCACAAGGCTTTACAAAAATATATTTCAGGCCTGGACATCCAAGCAAACCAAGGTAATGACCTTTATGGATATTATCAAGGCCTTTGATACGGTCTGCTGGGACTTTATGTGGGATACTATTTGTAAAATGGATTTTGGTGGGAAATTTATCAAAATATTAATATCAATTTATCAGTAAAACTACTCTATGTGGCTCCTAATGCTAGGTTTAGAACCATCCAAGATATCTTGGCATTATTTTCTCTCCACAGGGGAACCTGTCAGGGTTGCTTCCTATCCCCATTGCTATTCTCAATTACCACTGAACCTCTTGCAAACTATATAATGCAATGTGCAGAGGCATACAATGGTCCTTTGTGGAGCAAAAGATGTCATTATATGCGGATGACACTTATTTAGACAACTGTGAATCAGCATTTAACAACCTACTGCGAGACATAAAGATTTGGTAAGGTATCTGGACTGAAAGTGAGCTGGGAAAAATCAGCAGCCTTCACTTCTGGACCCCCCTGCCAAATGCCCCATGTTGCCAACTCCCATCTCCTTCCAACAAACTCCCTTAAAAACCTGGGATTACAAGCATCTAACAACTTCACTAAATGTGTTGCCTTTTATAACGACCCTGTCCTTCTCCAAATGCACTCTAGACTTCATATGGCACTTACTGCCTCTGAATCTTCAATTAAGTAATGGGGTCTGGGAGAAATTGCAACAGGCACAATGTCCCAAATAGTAATTAAGAAAAGTACAAAGAACACCAAGGGACTTTTCAGGTGCCAAATTAATAAATATGTAATTAAAATTATTAGATATGCAATGAACAGACGTGCTCCTATCATTTGGCTTCATGCACGCTAGCATTTTTTTTTAAGCTCCTATAAGTTATTATGAGCATTTTATTTCTGCTCCAAGAAGCTATTAGTATTATCTTATGTCCATGTACACTAATTTATGCTAGAAGCGTTTTTCAAGCGTCAGCATTTAGGACCAGTAAAAAAATTGTTTTGTGGAGTGTTTGGGAGCATTTTTTTGGCATAAAAAAAAACCGCTGAAAGCTCCTAAAAGCTTCTAAATGATACTAAAACAGCTTTTTTCAAGATTTTTTTTTTCTCTTCATGTACTGTAAAAATGCTAATAAAACAGGAACACTCCCAAAATGCTATTACAAGCTGGCACAAAAAACGCTCTTATCAGCGTTTTTCATCCATGGTGAAAACCGCTAGTATGCATGGAGCCTTATAAAGAAAAGGAAAAATCTTCATTCCTCTCTACATTGTGTATGTACCTCCCCATGAGGTCCCAGGCCTTAATTGGTATACCGTAGGATGGGCAAAAAAGGTGTATTTTTAACAGAAAACACAAAAGGCACCAGAGTAATGCACTACCACCAAGCAAATTAGTGGGATACCTTTGTATTGCAGTATTATGACCTCAGCCACCAGGACACTGATGAGGTCCTGTAATACGTAGGAATCCATGATAGGAGCATATCTGCTCATTGCATATCTAACAGCAACATAGTATCTGAAGAAGCCAATGTTGGCGAAACATGCTGAGATTTGTGTATGTGATTTGTTCAAGATATGCCGAAGACTCAATTGTACCACTATGTTTTTGTTGTGATTTTATATGAAAAAAAAAAACATGATACATTGTTTATACTTTTAATTACTTTGGCACCTGAAAATCCCTTTGGTCTTTTTTTGTACTTGTCTTAATTGGCTCTGAATCTTATTGTCCTCATAAATCTCAAAGACGAGTTATCTCATCAAAATTCTTTATTTGTTTGAAGACATATTCTGTCTTTCTTTCAAATGGTCCAAAGACTTGAATCTGTGATCTCTTCCTTCATATGATATAAAACACAACCCTGATTTCAAAAACAGGCTTTTCAAGCTTCCATGTCTGTTGAAGGCTTGCAGAACCTAACTTATATAACTACTTTATGGCATCCTAGTTGCCCTAGGTCCACAACAGGATGCATTTGGAGAACCCCTCTCCTCCACAGCTCTGATTATAGCTTTGTATGGTTCACAAAATAACCTGATAAGTTTTTATTCAATGCCTTTTAAGAATTGCAATAACCTTTCCCCACTGGATTTATCTACTGTATAATAGCCTGGATTAAAGCTGACAATTCCTATATAAAGGATCTAGTTCCTCCCAAAGGAACCTCTTGCTGAACAACTTCCAGGAACTGGACTGCAGAAAGTCAAAGGTCATCTGGAATCTAAATGGTAATCAAACCAAGGTGTCACGGCACTCTTACACTATATTGCCAAATGTATTGGGACACCCCTCCAAATCATTGGATTCAGATGTTCCAATCACCTCCATGGCCACAGGTGTATAAAATCAAGCACCTAGGCATGCAGACTGCTTCCAAAAACATTTGTGAAAAAAATGGGTCACTCTCAGGAGATCAGTGAATCCAAGCGTGGTACCGTGATAGGTTGCCACCTGTGCAATAAGTCCATCTATGAAATTTCCTTGCTACTAAATATTCCACAGTCAACTGTTAGTGGTATTATAACAAAGTGGAAGCAACTGGGAACAACAGCAACTCAGCCACAAAGTGGTAGGTCACGTAAAATGACAGAGTGGAGTCAATGCATGCTGGAGCACACAGTGTGCAGAAGTCGCCAACTGTCAATAGCTAAAGACCTCCAAACTTCGTGTGGCCTTCAGATAAGCACAAACAACAGTGCATAGAGAGCTTTATGGAATGGGTTTCCATAGCCGAGCAGCTGCATCCAAGCCTTACATCACAAAGTGCAATGCAAAGTATCGAATTCAGTGGTATAAAGCACACCGCCCACTGGATTCTAGAGCAGTGGAGACGTGTTCCCTGGAATGATGAATCACGCTTCTCTTTCTGGCAATCTGATGGACGTGTCTGAGTTTGGCGGTTGCCAGGAGAACGGAACTTGCCTGACTGCATTGTGCCAAGTGTAAAGTTTGGTGGAGGGGGGATTATGGTGTGGTGTTTGTTTTTCAGGGGTTGAGCTTCGCCCCTTAGTTCCCGTGAAGGGAACCCTTAAGGCGTCAGCATACCAAGACATTTTGGGCAATTTCATGCTCCCAACTTTGTGGAAGCCCTCAACAGTTTGGGGATGGTCCCTTCCTGTTCCAACATGACTGCACACCAGTGCACAAAGCAAGGTCCATAAAGACATGGATTAGCGAGTTTGGGGTGGAGGAACTTGACTGGCCTGCACAGAGTCCTGACCTCAACCCGAAAGAACACCTTTGGGATGAATTAGAGTGGAGACTGCGAGCCAGGCCTTCTCGTCCAATATTAGTGCCTGACCTCACAAATGTGCTTCTGGAAGAATGGTCAAACATTCCCAGAGACACACTCCTAAACCTTGTGGACAGCCTTCCTAGAAGAGTTGAAGCTGTTATAGCTGCAAAGGGTGAGCCAAATCAATATTGAACCCTATGGACTAAGACTGGGATGCCATTAAAGTTCATGTGCGTGTAAAGGCAGGCGTTCCAATATTTTTGCCAATATAGTGTATTTGTGGTTGGGATTTTCATCTCCTTTGACTAACTGAAGGCTAGTAACGTTATCAACAACCATTTCTTCAGATAACTCACTTTTTCTCGAGTCAATTCCACTTCATTATGCACTCTTATTCTGCAACTATCCAGGTCCCACCTGGAAGCTTCTGTGTGTGAGGAGACTCTTGGCAAACCCATGTCTGATGTCTATGCCTTATATATAATTAAGTGGCTCTTGACCCTTTGACATGGCTCAATGCAATTGGACTCACCTTATTTCTTTGGAGGCAGACCTCTGGAAAATGTGATAGAGCAGCACCCATCTTCAGGCTTATCAAATAAACTTTTTTCATCACATAGAAAACACATAAAAAGCTACAAGCTCAAGCCTCTTGAAAAATCTGAAACCGGTCTCATTAAAGAAGGCAGTCAGTACCACAGACAAGCTTATTCAAATTAAAAGATTTTTTGATGTAAAATAAACATCTAATCATTAATTTCATTTCAATTTGTTCTAGCCTAGTTAGTTTAAATAAAATGATCTGCAAGTTGTGAAAGTAACCTGTTCAACAATCCTACAAGACACACTTTCTATAATGCAGTGAACAAACGTTCTCATCCCCTCTCAATATGGACAGACATGTCACGCATTGCAGACAGCTTTTTCTTTTTTAATCAGGTAATTTTTATTAACCTTATTTTCAAAAACAGAAATAAGAATTACAAATAACTACTTTTATCATAAAAATGACAATACACTTCACACACCTAGCCCTTGATGTTGGATCAAGCAATAAAGGAATATGTAAATAATTTACATACAATATATGACTTTAAGATCTTGCAGCACACAAATGATATCCATCATTCACCCATAACAATTCCATAAACACTACCCATTTAAGCGGAATCACAGTTATTAGTTTTGGTATTCATACAGTGCACCTGCTACACAGTAAGCGTTGCAAATTCTTCACCTGAGCATCTCTACACATTATCTAACTGTCCACTTCCACACCCTAAGAAAGGGAGGGATGAGATGATTCATTAAAGTCTAGCCACCAAGACTGTGTTTTTTGGAATTTTCTAGGGCACCCCCTGTGTTTATAATTGATTTCCTCTCGCAGTGTGAAGCAGACGGCTTTTTGCTTGAATTACCACTTTATCTCTGGAAGTTCTAGGCACCTGCACATTCAGCGGTGCTGAAGATGAGAGCGGTCAGAAAGCATGCTGATTACTGGAAATGCCCCTATTTATTACATCATCAATGGTTGGGATCTGTAGTTCTTATAAGGCATGCCTGCTTTATGTATAGAGACACAAATGCATGCAGGAGTTATAGGAAGAAAGAGAGATAGACAGGCAGACACTAGGCAGTGAACCGCTGAATTTTCGTAAACAAGGATTTCTATGTTATATAAAACCTGGTGTTTCAGCTGCTGCTATAGTCCTGATATTATAACCGCAAAGTTTATGATTTGCCTTAGGATCTGCTTTAGGTTCATTCATCAACTGTATCATACTCCAGCTAAATGAGAATACTTCCAGTGCCACATGCTACTGTTCTTATGATTTATTAGTTACTCCATATGTTCTGGACATGCTCCTTTGTGTCTTCATGCCATACTCAAGTGCATACTTTTCTGTTGGTTAGACTTGTGTATATAGGCCTCAAGACTATGGAGGTCTGCTTGTTGATTGATCCATTTCTATTCTCCGCCAGCCAAAAAAACACATGATCCGTTTATTTCTCATTTATGCTAGGATAGTTATTCCCTTGAAGGGGAAAGAAACTACCTCACTGAAAGTCAGCCAATTTAGGGGTCATAAATAATTTACTTTCTAAGATTAAAAATGTTTTAAAAATTCTACAAAATTTGACAGCCATGGATAGATATGTGGGGACACATCCTGGCAGACCAACTCTGATACAGCATCCATCTTAGATATGTAAATTGTTGCTCCCATACTATGTCTAATATTGCTACCCTCCTATATCAGGCAGGAAAGGGTATGTTATGAAAACCACCCCCTGGTTTAAAGAAGAATTCTAGGCCTGACATATTTTTACATGGTTACATTGATCCAAGCCGAACCAATGTAACTAGTATATACCATACAATGGCATGTATATGAATGTATTTATATTCTGTTACTGTATACAAGAAAACACTTATTCATATATATTTAAACCAAAACTAACTAAAAGCAATGAAAATGACAATGTGATATAAAGGATACAATGCTTTCAATTTACCGTACAGAACTACACACTCTCCTAAATGCCATTTATAAAAAGCAGACTTGAGCTATCTTTTATGGTATTGTCCACAAATCCCCAACTATTGGTCCATGACTTGTGATTATTTGAAATCTTCAACATGACTAAAAAGAAAACTAACCCTGCAAATAGTGCTATTATATGCCATCTACCAACCGTACCACAGGGAAATCCAACTAACCAAACTAGAACGCTCCACTGTATCAGCAGCCGAAAAAAAAACTAAAATTGTTGAACCAGATAAAACTTCACATACTAACCACAACAGATCTGGAGCAAACACAACATAAATTAATTCTAATAGACAAACTGGACACCATGCAACTTAAACAGACCCATACGGCAAACGCCTTTAAAACATGGACACCCTACATTATTCGGAAATTATCCATCCCTCAACCTGGAGCCCTGACCTGGCCTGACTGTAGTCCACATTGGGACTTTTAGAGCTCTTTTAATGAGACAGATGGTTGGATTTTGCACTGCATTATAGAAAACAATTAGACGACTTCATTATCCACTGACAAGCCTAATAAATAGAAACAAAAATTAAAAAAAAAAAAAAAATCTAAGGGTCTGTGCCATTTATGTAGATACACAAAAAATATGACTAATTTATTACTAAAAGTACTTGCTGACTGTTTTATTAAGCTTCTTCTGGGCATACCACACCTTACTGCAGCTTGGGTTAGGTGTGAATCGCACTACTATACACTATGGGGGAGATTCACTAAAACTGGAGAGTACAAAATCTGCTGCAGCTCTGAACAAAAATCAATCAGCTTCCAGGTTAGTAAAGCTTAAAGCAGAACTTTACTAATGAAAATTGATCAAAAATAATGTTCTTTAGCAAGGAACATACATTCCACATTAAAGGAGAAGTACAGCCAATGCTCTTTTTGGATGTGCTTCCCCTGTGGATCACAGGAATGCAGTTTGTTCTGCACTCCTGTGACCAGGGGCGGACTGAAAACTCATAGGGCCCCCAGGCAATAGGGGATCATGGGGCCCCTGTGTCCTTGCCCAAACTCAAAAAAGCCTATGAAAAAGGTACATAGGGCATCTCATTGGGCCCCCTACTGACTCCAGGCCCTCAGGCAGTGCCCGAATTTCCAAATGGTCAGTACGCCCCTGCCTGTGACCCATTTTCAGCTGACAGTGGGCTGCAGCACACTGTCGGCTGACGTCAGTCAGCAGATCCAAGCTGGGGAAAGATCCCAACTTTAACCACTTGCCCGCCACCCTATAGTAGAAGTACTGCTACAGGGCTACGCAAAAATCTCACACACACACACACACACACATATATATATATAAATAATTTGCATTTCCATTGGCGGCTAGGGATGTCAATCACTGGGTCCCGGCCAGAGATTTCCCAACAGCACCCGGCGATCATCGGAGAAAGCTGACAGGGGAGAGACCTGTGTGTAAACACCACAGGTCTCTCTCCTGCCAGCAAGGACATGCTGCTTTGTATTTCTCTACACAGCAGAGAAATATAAAACAGCATATCTCCCAAGTAAAACAGCACCCAGCACAGTTAACCCTTTGATCGCCCCAGATGTTAACCCCTTCCTGCCCAGTGTCATTAGTACAGTGTCAGAGCTTTTTATTAGCACTGACCACTGTATTAGTGTCACTGAGGATGTAAGTGGCAGTTAGTCAGTTACCACCCAGTGTCAGAATGCCCTCCGCAGTCACCGCTATAAGTCGCTGATCGCCGCCATTACTAGTATGAAAAAATAAAAATTCCAGTATATATACCTCCATTTGTAAACACTATAGTTTTCACGTAAACCAATTTACATGTATTTGGTTTTTATTTTTAGCAAAGACATGTAGCAGAATACATTTTGGCCTACATTTATGATTACATTTTATTTTTTTATTTACAAAAGTAAAAAATATTGGGGCTTTTTGTCAAAATTGTCAGTCTTTTTTTTATAGTGCACAAAATAAAAAACACAGAG